TGGGAGGACAAGTGCTATTTTGGATGTGAATCTTTCCCATTGAGGATGGCTCAATAGGAAAACCAGAGGCTGAAAGGGATCTACCTGTTGTTTGCTTTTATTTTGTGTGCAAATGTTCCCCTTACATTTCATTTTCTAAAAGAAAACCCATTTTTGTTTTTAGAACTGGTAAATCTTTTGTGAAATAAGATTAGTCTTTTTTATAATTTGTGCTTATTAATTTAAATGACAAATGAATATTTATTTTATATATAATAGATACATATGTATATGCACATATATTTCATATTAGTATATTTACATATATGTATACACACACATATATATTTTTTATTTCTGAGAAATCACCCCAGAATTTTGACATTACAAATCATATTCTATGGCATCATTGTAATAATGGGATGGGTACTTATAGTTAGTATTTGATTTCTATTTATTAAATTACCTTAACAGGTATATATGGACAGCATAATTGGATTACAAATGACTACATCTATTATACAAAAGCCATAATATCATGAATTTTGTAACTCTGTAACTGGTTACTGTTCGTTATTTTAAGATGACGATTGCTATTTTATCTGAGAGCTCTGCTTCTGGAGTTGGTACAGAATTTTCATGCTTACAGATCTTTTCCCTTCCTCCTCCCTTCTTTCCCCCTTTTCATTCATCTTCCTTTCCTCTTTTTGTTCTACTTACCAAGTGTTGCCTATATCAATTGCACTTTCTGCAAGTTTAAGGACAAATAATTCCACATTTATTCAAATCCTAAAGCAACCACTTTGTGTTATCAATTGCATGGCTATCTGCTTAACTGGAATAATCAGGAACTCCCTGAAGTCAACACAAGGTGACTGGATTAACGGCCCCAGGGCCAGCCCAATTCTTTACAGAATTTCGTATTACGTTCCTGGCTTTTATAAAGAGTTGATGTAATAAACAGCTATATGGAATAACATTTCTGCATCTTTTGTAAAACATCTATTAAAGGCAATACACATTATACTAGTGTTTGTTACTCAAGGATCCTAACAATAAAGTCTTGCAAGTATAAATTCCATGTGATGAAAAAGTTTATTCATTTGTGTGTGTTTTTTGGATGGATTGGATTATTTCCTTTGATGAGATATTCAAAGCTATGTAATTATGGTAATTGGTGATCATAGTTCTAGAATTCAGACTGTGTTAATCTCCTCGGATTGCTGCCTATTGGTCTTTTACTGATCATTAACACTCTTCCAGATGGTGAACCAGGAAGGATGCTCAATTCTGACCAATCACTTTCAGTATAAGTTATACATTTTATTTAAGCCACCCTGATTCCTATCTGCACTAGTGACAGAGGGTTGCATTCACCTAAATTAGGTTTATGTATTATGTCCTTTGTTTTAGAGAATATAATATCCAAATTAAAGATGAGAATAATTAATTATATTAATGGGCACCATAGATACTGAATTATTATTTGCTAAGCGCTGTGTGAAGCCCTTTATATGTTTAAACCATTTCATCGTCAACCATTTAGAGGTAAAGTCAGTAGCATTTTGCAGACTTATTTGATGACAGAGCACCTTCTTAAAGAGCATCTCAAGGAACTAGTTGTTCTACTGAACACATTTGGGAAACAGAAACCTAAGTGTATTGGGTCATCCTCATAACTATTGATACTTGAAGGTGGGTCTAGTACATCTTGGAAGTTAGCCCCTCTGTCTAAGGAGACTTTGGTTCTGGTTCTGGTTTCCTGCATGTATTGCCTATTCTTGACATCTGACAAATGATTAGTCCTTGACCTTTGTCTGGTTGGGCCACTAAACCCCTGGCTTTCTCCAAGACTGTATTTCACAGACTCAACCCTGCCAGCCTTTGACTATCTTGTTACTAACCCACCTTAACAGAAAACAAATGTTCCCTTTTATTAATTGAGTCTATTATAATATTAATTCTTGACTCAATCAAACACCCCAAATAAAGGGTGGGAATAGGACAGTGTAGTGACATAAGAAGACAACTTTTATTGATCTAGTTAAATAGCAATAACAATAAAATACAGTGAAATTACAGTATGTGAACATTTATATTATGTGGATTCACCTAGACACACTTAGCATCCTGCCCCAGGTAGTGAGAAAAAAAATAGTTTAAATGCAAGGCAGTAAGATTTTATGTTAGGAAATGCCATTACCGGAGGCCTCCCATAATTTAAAACTTGAGTAATCCAAGATTAATTTTTCATAAAACTGACACAGGAATGCAGGTATTTATTTGCTGTCTGAAGTGGCACACCATGGGCTGTAGCAAAAACATGGTTTCCCATTCGCCTGGCCCTTCAGCTCTAAAATCGTGTGATTGTTAACATTTAAAAAAATTATATATCTATTATTTCAAATGCTGCCGATCCTGTGAGAATTTATTAATATTTTTATGCTACGCGTTTCAAGTTCGCATGACTGATTTTATGAGTTGCTGCTGCGTTGTATAGTACTGGTGCTTTCATCCCCCAGCCCACTCCATTTTCAGGGAGAATTTAATCTGTTAGGAAGTATGACTGCTATTTCTTTCTTTCCTGTGTGCCTTTCATAGTAGAAAATATCACTCTGCCCTATAAATGCAAACCAAGTACTTCATCTGGCCTCCCCCATAGAAACTGAAATCTATTGAATGTTGGAAAAATACTGAATTTACTGCAAGTTACATCACTGTCCAAAATGTCATGTAGTTTTAAGGAATGTTCAAAGAGAATTTTGAATATACATGGCTCTTCTCTTTATGTGCCAAATTTAGAAGTTTACCTCCCACATAAGATGCGATTCTACCTGAAAAATAATAGGCATTATCTGTTGCCAACCCAACATTCATCACTCTGTTCTTTCTTCTCCCCCAAAATCCCCTATTTTATTCAGGTATCTACCCCCTCATATGACCAAGGAGAAGATTATCCTAATACCAGTTTCAGGAGTAAATCTTAATTTGTCAAGGCTCATCATGGTAGTCCCGCACCCCCTTTCCAATGATTTGTTTCACACTGGTTGAGTAACCCAGTTCTGGCCTATGAAACACAAGATTATGTCAGTTGAGGGGTTTCTGGAGAGATTTCCTTGATTCTTAAAAAAGGGACAGAGACAGTGATAGTTCTTCTTCCTAAGCACATTGTTGGGTCTGGATGTGACTCCAATAAATACTGCCATCTCGCTACCAGTTGTCTAAGGATGTCAGCATCAAGAGTGGGAGAGAGAGCAGAGAAGGCTAAATCCTAGGTCCTTGGAGACTTTGCTCAGTTCTTGAATCAACCAATCCTGAAGTCTCCCCAACTTCTTCCTCTTAGATAATGTGTCAGTAAGCTTGGGCTGTCATAACAAAATACCATGAATTGGTGGCTTAAACACCAGAAGTTTATTCCTTTCAGTTCTAGAGGTTGGGAAGTCCAAAGTCAAGGTTCCAACTGATTTGGTGAGGACTCTCTCCCTGGCTTGCAGACAGCTCACCTTCTGTCTGTGTAACTACCCTCACTTGACTTTTCCTCGGTATGTGGGTGAGTGTGGGACCGTGGAGGCAGCTCTCTCTCTTCCTCAGTGTAGAAGGCTGCCAATCCTATTGGACTAAGATCCCACCCTTATGACCTCATTTAACCTTAATTACCTCCTAAAAGCCCTATCTCCAAATATAATCACATTGGAGGTTAACTCTTCAACATATGAATTCTGGGGGGGTACAAATTCAGTCATAGCAGATAATATAACCAATGTCCTTACATTGTCTAAACAAGTGCAAGTTGTGTGTTTTTTTCTGTTATATATTACTGAATACATCCTAACAGAACTCATGTTTTATGAAGCAATACACGAAGAACAGGGTCTAACTCATGACATATAACACAAAAAGATCAAGGGCTATTTGCCTTTTCTTAGAACAAAGCAGTTGTAGTTAAAACTGGTTAGTCCATTGTTGTCACAGGGCATATCATGAACTGCTGATTGTACATATATGTGGTATCATGTTAACATAAACAGTCCAGCCCTAAGGGAGTTTTGAGTTAAAAAGAGAAGTTTTTCTAAGATCATGTGCTCTGATATCAAACCATGCTCCAGCCCAGTTCTATCATTATAGAGTTCTGGCAAGCCACAAGACGTTAGCTGGTGATTTTATCAAGCAAGACTTCTAACTAATGGCTTGATGAAACCGTCACTGCATCATAAAACACTATAACAGACTGAAATGAAGATCCCTTTCAAGAATTTTGTAATTTTAGATTATTACAATTTAGTCTATGAAAAGCAGTATCTCAGGGATCACCATAATCCTACAAATAAGAATACACTTTCACTTTTATGCCTGAGATGAATCAGTTATGTTTATTCTTGCAATTCAAGTCTAATTTGTATAACTATCTTCAACAAAAAGGGTGGAGTTCAGATTTTACCCCATTCTAGTAAAGCTCTTACGAATCATTTTACTTATCATTTAGTTACATTATGTACAAAGCAATTTTATGTAGTCTCCCAGAAGAAAATTAAATAAGTAAAATTATATTAAAGAGAAGGATTTTTGTAACATCGTAAAATTCACTTCTTTTTTTCTAGCCTGGAAAGTAGAAATAAGAACAGCACTTATCAAATTTTAAAAACAAAACTAACCAAACAAAAAACCCCAAACTCCACCAAGAAACAAATGATGAGAAATACATTTGCATACAGAGGAATCCATATTAAAGGCAAGAAACGTGGGCCATTTTTTTTTTCTCTTCACTTTGAAATCTTAAACCTTCTGACACTATTTGCATGAACTCAGCAATACAAACCATGTTGTAAATGATTTTCTGAAAAACTTTGCTGGTTTCACTGTGTATTGTATTATTGGCCAAATGTGACATTAAATTTTATCCCCTGTGGCTTGGAGCTAAATGCTTGCACTGTGCAGAATGGCAACACTCAATTAAACAGCATTTTTCATGATCTACACCCACCATTGTTACTGTATTTAAGGGAGATAATGGGGGTACTGACCTATATTGCGTTTCTTATTATCAATGGAGATGAAGCGTATGCAGGGATTACTGGTGATGTACTGCCCGGCCCAAGGGACATCAATCTTCGTGCCAGCTTCATAAAAGAGGCCCAGAGCGTAGCGAGAGGAGTAGCTCACAGACTCCAGTTGCTGCCTTTGGCATTCACTAATCACTGTGGAAGAAAAAGTATAGGGCATCAAACTTGAAAATATCATCTTTCCTTTTAGTACATCAAAAACAAGAGTCCTTTAAACTAGTTCCAACTGTTCCCACCAATTCCGTCTCACTTACGATGAATTTTGAAAGGTAATGTGAAATAGCATCAGCTTTCTCATTTCTTTTCAGAGTGATTACTGACCTTGGCACAATTGTTTTTACCAAGCTAAAGGTCCAAACTTCTTAGACTGGCATTCAAGGCTCTCAAAATTTGGCACCAAATTGCTTTTCTAGTTTTGTATCCCAGTTATTATCTTGGGACTGTCTGGCAACATTATAGATTCCGTATACTGAGCACTTACTATGAGTCAGGGTCTTTGCCAAACACTTGCCACAAGCCTTTCACTCTAACAACTGCCATATAAGTAGAGCATTATCCCTATGTGATGGCTGGGGAAGCCCACGCTCCATCCCTTATGGACCTCTTAAATTCTTCCACGTCACATAGAGATTTGTTGGCTTGTCATCTTCCTGCCAGGATTATAACAGTTCCTTAAATACAGGGACCACACCTTAGTCATCTTCATTATAAGCCTCTACCCTACTTATTATGGGCACACCAAGGATGAAAGTAGAAAGATACAGAAAGGCAAACACAGAAACACAGTTAGTTAAAACGTAGGAGGTAAATAATTAACAAATGGAAAAAAGACTGGGAAACGAATTAGGCAGGTTGGGGTTCAAATCTTGACTCTATCACTTACTAGTTAGGTGCATTGGTTGAGCTACTTAATTATTCTAATGATAGTGCTCTTCTCTATAAATGGTAAAACTAGTACAGGATGTATTAGTAGTATATTGTGAGGATTATATGAATAATGCCAATCAATCGTGCTTGATAGGACAAGTGTTCATTAGATAGGCGCTTTTTCTATTATAGAGAGGAAATTAGGAAAATGTTCCTTCCTGGGGTGGAGAAGGGACAGATTTCCTTCACTTCTTACTCTCCATCTCTAGCCTCCCTACCCTAAAAGGTCTCAGGGAGCTGCTTGTTCATATATGCACGACATTAATAATCTGCATCTCAGAGAAGGCCATAGTTCTATTCTGAAGGTTTAGGCACGCTGACTCAGAAATGGAACATGCGAAAAATCTTCATGAACCTAGTGAAAAATACCCTAAAACATCCTAGGGTCTGCCTAGTTGGGATAGGCAGACCCCACGGATGGCATCCAACTTTAGCTAAACCTTAGAGAAATGACTTTAGGAGGTCGAGAGAAGGCAAGAGCATATTTAGTAAATTATTTAAGCACAGTAATAATCCTATACATGATCATAACATATTCTTGGCTACAAAACATTTTTAGAATTAAGACCTCATTTAATCTTCACAAAAGCCCTGCAATGTGGGTGTTTTTACCATTCTCATTTTACATTCTTAGGAAGCTGCGATTCAGACTGGTTAAGGAACTTTCCCTAGGTTATACAGCTTCCTACTCATGGGGTCCAGATGAAGCCACAAGTCCCGCATTGGAGTCATGCACAGGTACTCATTGATCCACACTATCCCTTTGTGATCTATCAGTCTGAGTTTCAAAATGAACTTTGGCATTGCTTTCTCCTCGGACATTAATGATTGTTTTGCATTCACTTGGAAGTATAAGCCATCGCATCATTTTCTGCTTATCAAAAGATATTAACTACTTGATGACCAAATGATATGACATGGGCATCATTACATTCAATGTATCTTGGGCCTCATTTTCGTATTTAATCTGCTTTTAAAGTTATGGCTTGATATTATGCTTAACTACTTTCCAAGAAGGACGGAGTGAAGAAAACTAACACTAGCAGTTGTGCTCATATTGTGGTCTTCCTAGTTTCCCATTTTTTCAATTAAAAAAACAAACCAACAAAACTGTGTAGTCAGCTATTCAGTAACTGAAAGGGCCTAAAACTCTCCTTTTTTTTCTTTAAACCAAAAGCGAAGGTCAACTAGGTTGACAACCAAACTAGACTTTCCTCTGCCCCCACACGCACATTTGCACATTTAGCTAGTTTTCAGACAAGCTGCCAAGTGGCAAATCCCACTGGGCGGCCCTTTGAAAAGGTAATTGATATCTATATAGAAACAGAAATTAACCTTAAACGCCCCTGTGTGCTCTGGGGGCTCTACAATTCATTTTGAGTTCAGGGAGGTGAGACTTCTGACTGAAACAATCTCAATTTCTGGACATATTCACTTACACAAAAGTCATCTTCAGGACCTTAAACATTTTTAATTGTTGTAGAATCTAACAAAATGTCCCGATTTTGTTTGAAAGTTTTTCTTATGCAAATGCCAAAGGGAGTATCCTTAGGTCTAAAATATATATATTTTTTGGCAAGAAAAATGAAAGGTTTTTCACTATCCTGTACTATCATGTGCCATCTATCCAAAAAACAAGTCTCATATAAAAATGCCCAATTTGATGCACTGAATCTTTACCTGGATATTACCCGAATTTATTCTGAACCACTAGGATCATATAATCTCTGTAACTATACACACACGTACATATAATATTGAATACACCTTATGACTATGATGTGAGTAAAGCAGCATAAGTTCCACTGAACGGGGTAGCTTACATTCTTATTTTAAAAGAAGTGTCCTTATTCCATTGTCCTTGCATCTATGCCTATGTGTGCATGTATGTGTGCATGTGTGGATATGGGGGAGGTGAAAGACACAGGGAGAAACTGGAAGT